GTATCTTTTATCTACATTTGAGGAACTTAATTGTATCCTGCTCCTTTACCAGAGTACCTGAGACCCTTTGAGATCACAGAAATGTTATTTTGCCAATGCCGGACAGCTTCAGGAGATACTGTCAACTAAAAGAAAAATTACCCTTCCAGTTAAATGCTTTCTCAAATTCCTAATAGTGCCCAATTGTTGAAAAGTTTTTACAGCTGAAAGAGAAATGTGTTCTCTCTTTAACTCCCCCCCCCTTCAGTTTCTGCATCTAATCACATCTCATAGGGTGAGATGGAGTCTCTCTCCCCCGTGGTCAGCTGGGTCCGATCTGGCGTGGGGTGTTGCCAGCACACCTGTGCGCAGCCAGGGTTCTCCGAGCAGGGGGGAGACTGGACCTTCCACAGGTGTGGAAGCTCACTTCAATGGATCTGAGTGCAGAATCAAGCCTTGGGCAATGTCCTATTTTGTTTGAATGGGTCTTTCAGGCGGGAAGAGAGTGGAAGAAGACATTTAGCATGCACTTTTCCATTTTGCACTGCATCACTGGATAGAAGGTTAGTGACCTGAAAAAACATAGATTTGTGGTGAAAAATCTTAACAGACCTTACCGGAGGCTTGCATGGGGGTATGACAGCCCCTCAGAACAGTGCATTAGTAGCTTAGTACTTATTGAAATAGATGTTATACGGTATTTAAGTTAGGTGTACAAAAGCTAACAAGATTATTCATCGTTTTCTTCATGCACTTACAGATGGGTGCTTCCTCTGCAATCTTCACCTTTTCCTCTCACTTTTTACACGGATTTCCACACACTCCACTCATGGGTTTTCATACACAGGTGTTTTACTCTATTCTCTTCCCATCTCATATTTAGCATTAAACTCACTGCAAAAGTAACAGCTTTGACTCCCCGGTGTCCTTAACGTATGTTTAGTCTTTCAATTCAATGACTGTTCTGTCAAAATATACATTTCATTCTGCGCCTTCTATCCAAGTGGCCTTTATGCTGGGAATCTGCATTTATTGTTCTTATCTCTTCCCTAGGGCTTTCAAAAAGCAGATGGATGTAAAGACTGACAATCAGATGTCTTCCTACAACCAACCTGAAGTCAGCAGGTAAGAACTACGGAGTTGCTTACCAATGGAAAGAAATCTCTATAATGTGCGAGACATGCAGACACCCCTGTGAAATACTTCCAAGAACATTTTATTAGAGACCATATTGCTCCCCGTCATATTTTTTGCATTTGCCTTTTCTTGCTTTACAATTTATATGAAAAGAGGGGATTTCGTAGGTAGCGATCCATCTGCTCACCTTACTTATTCCTTGCTTTCTATAAGCCTCTGTGATGCCCCAATTAATTGCTCTGCGTATGATCACACCACATCACAAACAGGATTCTGACTTTCAGTCCTGTCAGTATGAGGGGAATTTTCTAACAAATTTCCTAAAGTTGCCAGTTCAGCTTCACTAGTGTTACCAATGTGGGCTGTAACTGTTGTGTGTGGATAAAGCCTTACCAAGTTGAAGCTGAATCAGTATCAATTTGTAACCGGCCATCAATCTTTAAACACAAAGGGGTGCACTAGTTTAACTAAATCAGGTGAACACACCTGTAACCAATGCATGGAAGCTTTAGTGGAATTCATTTCCAGCTGTCTTAGAGCCCCCTGGGTAGAGGCATCCACGGCTCCCTTAAAAAAAAGTATTATGATTTAGGCTTACTCAGTGAGTGATAGCAAGCGATCTGTCCATGCTATGATCATGAAGCAGGACACTTGGTTCCCTCACTTTACCTGTGGCAGGTTAGGGTGGACGTCTGTGTTGTGTTAGGGTTGGAAGCAATCGTTTACCCTAAAGTGCAGATGGGATTGTATGGGATGGTTTGGACAGGGCTGATCCTGCCTCTGGAGGTCCCTTCCAGCCCTGCTGCTATGATTATGAAATGACTTTTCCTTGTTGTTTAACCAGGCTGCACAGATCACTCCTTTCTAATCTATCTCCCCAAATCCTTCCTTCCTTTTAAACATGTCTTACTAAAACACTGGAGGTGATATTTCTCTCAGCCCCTCCCGTGTGCTGTATTTCACTGCCCGTGCCCAGCTTCCTACATTGGGAGCCCTGAGGAAGAACATCTTGCCTTCCAAAGCTTGTCTCACACCTCCATAGCTGGTCCAAGATCTCACCTTCAGAAATCCTGGCTTTACATTTCACCTGAAATGCAGCTGGTCCTTTCAGGATCCCCCCTAGGGTTAGAGTCTGAGGTGGGCAAAAGGGCTGGAAGGGACCTCTGGAGTTCACTAGTCCAGCGGTTCTCAACCTTTCCTGTACCAGGACCCATCTGTAAACGGCAGTGGCCAGTACAACCCACTGCCCTGCTCTGCCAGCCTGTGGGGGGAAGCCAGTTTCCCCCCCATGTTTCTCTTTGAACAGGAAAATCCACTTGGAAAGTGTGTGGATCCATTTGGAAAGTGCATGTGTGACCCTTCTGTACAGTCTCACACCCCACTTTTGGGTTGTGACCTAGGGGCTGAGAGACCCCGCTCTACCTACTCCAGCCCCCCTCCAGGATCATCCCTCTCCCAACCCTCCCATCCACCCACTGGATCTAAGCCTTGCCACCACACAAGCCATCCCCCCGGTTCCGTGCAGCTGGTGGGAGACGCATCTGTCGCCGGGCTCCTTCCCCCAGCGAGGATGTTTGCAAGGGGGGGGGC